CCTCCAGGGCGGAGCGGACGGGACGCCCGCACTCAGGGACGCCCAGCCCTCGGGCCGGTGGCCCCGCAGCCTTCCTCCGCCCGCTCCCCAGCCGCCAGCTGGCCCCCGACGGCGCCTCCCCTACCTTCGTTCGCCAGGTCCGCCATTTTACTTCCTTAAGCCCTCCCACAAGGCCCCGCGCCGGCCCAGGCTCGCCAGTTTTCTGCCGGAGACCGCTGCGCGTGCGCATTTAATAAGCCGACTCCAAGCGAGGCGGGCAGCCTGCGCCTGCGCACTGAGCTGCGCGCCGAGTCGAGCTCCTACTCGCGCTCCAAGCACGCGCCTGCGCACTAACGGCCCCCCGCCTTCTTCCCGCCGGCAAGGGGGGCGTGGTCACGTGAGCGCGCACGCGCGGGAGCAGCGCGCGTTTACTGCCTGGTGGTCCCAGCGGGGGTCCCGTGGTGGCACTACCCGGTGATGATCCTGGGATCCGAAGCGGCAGGAGAGCTGGCGGGTCTGGTGCGCAGCGGCCGCGGCCTTCCTCTAGGTGAATCCTCGGCCCGAGGGACTTTCCACCGGCGCAGCAGCGGAGCCTGACCTCGGTCCTCGCCGCGGTGCAGGAGCACCGACCTGGGGGCGGGCCCGTCGCGCAGCCCTAGCCCGCAGGTGCCGCCTGGGTCGGGGACAAGACCTTTGATCCCCGCGACCCACGGGAAGGGACGCTCCGGGACGCTGGCGCCAAGCCGGCACCAAGGCTCTGCAGCTGTAAAGCGGCCGAACCGCCCCGTCTGCGGACGGTCTGCGCCTTCACGTGGAATTGCAGTTGGCGCCACGTCTGGACGCCGGATGCCAGGCCAGGCTCTGCCAGGAGCCACGTCAAGATGTGACCACCCCCAGGAGCTTGGGGAAAGGGGACCCCCAGGGTCTGCCCCTGCTTGCCTGCTACCTGTCTCAGCATGTCTTTGGGGCTAAAGCACAGCCCAGGTCCACCTGCTCTCCCCGCGTGGCTGTCCGGCCTGGAGCTCTTCTGGGGCACTGAACACCTTCTCCGCCCGGGGTCTGTTCCGCACGCGCACAGGACGAGGGAGATTTTAAAACACAGAGGGGCTGGGCTGCGGCTCAGCGGTGGAGCGCTCCAGCGCATGTGAGGCCCCAGGTTCGATCCTCAGCACCACATACAAATGAATACGTAGAATAAAGGTATTAAAAAACTCCTTCCTTAAAAAAAAAAAAAAACCATAAATATGAAGGGGCATCCCTTCTCAGTGGTTTCAGAGGGCTTTTGCTTGAGCCTGGAAATTCAGGATATGAAGCCCCTGCGTTTGGTCCCGCACCGGGCCTCTCTCCTGCCTTCAGCCGCACGGGTCTCCCCATCCCTGTGTACCCCAAACTCACCGCAGCCTGCGCATCTCTGCATTTGCTGACCTCTCTGCCTGGGTCTCATCCACGTTGAGCCCCAGCTGGCCCTTTTTAGGCCGATCCTACCACCTGTGGACCCAATATGGCCTGCCAGCTGGGTCCTGCCAGCTAAGAATGTAATATTGAACAGGTTAGGAAAAAGGTCAAAGGAAGAATGAGGCTTCAGGATAATCAAAGCTTGTATGAACTTTAAATTCCAGTGAAGTTTTATTTGAAAATAGCCACACTTATTTATATGGTCTCTGCGGTTGCTTTTGAGCTTCAGAGCAGAGCTAAGGCCTGGTACCTTTTTCTTGGCACCTGGGGTTGAGCCCAGGGCTGCTTTACCACTGAGCCACATCCTCAACCCCTCTTTTTATTTTAATTTAAGACAGTCTCACCAGGTTGCTTAGGGCCTGGCTAGGTTGCTCACTATCCTCAAATTGTGGTCTTCCTGCCTCAGTTTCCTGAGCCCCTGGCATTAAAGGTGGGCCACTGCCACCAGCCTTTTACCATAGTTTTAATTTAGGTCTTGACAGAAAACCTGCCAATCTCTCTCTGGTCCAGGGCACCAGCTGTATCTGGGAGGCCTCACACCCACCTCTGCGGTGGTCTCCCTCCAAGGCTTACGCACCAGCCACGCTGTTTCTGCGTTGGCTCGGGAGGATGTGTGCAGTGCGTGCCCGGGGACGGTTTGTTGAAAGTTTTTACTGATATTTTTCATCACTTTCTTAAGTCTTGACAGCCATCAATAAAATAAATTGAGCCCTGGTGTGTAGTGTTTGCTGGTTTTCTTGGTGTACTTCAGCCGTGTCCTGTTTTAAGCTACTGATGTGATGTCACCATAGGTATGTGAGAACCTGCTGCTTCTACTGTGGTCCCCAGGCCACCAGCATTAGTGTCACTCCTCACTGAAGCTTATGGAAATCCAGAATCTCAAGCCCCACCCTAAACCCAAGTCAATCTGCATTTTAACAAGGTGCCCAGGAGCACTGCGTAGAGTGCTCATAAAGAGCCACAGGATTCTTTTATTCTTGCCTGGCATCAGGGTTGGGGTACTTAGTATCCCCAACAATTCCCTCCAACACATTTTCTAAGACTCAATTAGACTCTGCTCCCTAGAGTTTGCCAACAAGCTACCAGTTCTTAAATTGCAGGTTGCCCAGGAAGAGCTGGAAAGGACCTGGAGTCAGGTCTGGTCCTCGTGTCCTCCAGCGGGTCCCCCCCACCCGTGGGTCTTCTCCGTCTGCAGTATCTGGGAAGCCTTCAGTATTTTTTCTTTTGTCCTAATTTACATTACATAGACACTTTGTGTCACATTTTAAAATAGAAAACCACTAAGCCCTGAATAGAGATCATCATAAAAAATAAACATGAAGAGGAGGGGTGTCCTTCAGCTCCGGGCAGGTACTCTGGCGGGCCAGGTGCTCAGCCCAAACCCTGCTTCTGTTGACTGTGAAGGGGACTAGCAGGGTGTCCTAGGGGCATCAGGAGCATGTCATCACTGAGAGAAACTCTGCTTGCTGTGATGGGGACTGAAAGAAATTGACGGTGTGATGGCTGGGATCCATGTAATCAGTGCCATTTAATGTCATGTCTGCATGTCACCTAAAGTCTTGTCGGGCACCACATCCACCCCACACTTTGGAAAAGTCCCAGCAACATGTCATCACTTGCTAAATATGTTCTAATGGTGGCTTTCAAAGGACGCCGGGATACAAACCCTATCAGCCCGACAGGGCAACCGAGTGTCCCCTGAGTTCACGCCCTCACAGGCGCTGTCCCTGCCTGCCTGGAGCCCCGCAGGCCTTCCGTTTTTATCTGGTCTCCTCTCAGATGAGCCAACATTCATTTAAGCAAATATTTGTTGGTTGCCAACTGGTGGTTTAAAATGTGACCCAAATTATTTGTCCCTGCTCCCATCCAGGAGCGGAATCTCCCCTTCTCTTGAATGTGGGTGGGCTTGTCGGTCACGAGCATGGGGAAATGACACTGGAACTTGTGGGGCTGGGCGCAACTTCCCCTGGCTCCCTGGGAACAGTTCTTAAAGTTTCCAGGATCACAGGAGCCCTCCAGCTGCCCTGAGCCTGCCATGTTGGAAGGGAGCGAGAGCGAGGCTAGCTTCCAGCCAGATCCCAGCCAGCCTCCGGCTGTTCCTGCCACAGCCCTGAGAGGATTGCCCAGCCTCGCCCTTCCCGGCTTCAGGAACCCAAGACAGATACATGACAGTTGCTATAAGCACCTCGGTTTGGGTGGGGGGATCCCGTTACACAGCAGTGTGTGTCTATGGCATCTGCTCCGCATCAGGCATTATTGTGCATGTTGAGTTCCCAGGATGAATAAGAGACCAGGAACTTTGCATCATTTTGTGGAGAGACTGACAATAGGGAAGCAAAGATTTTCAAATGCTACAAAGAAAAAAAAAAAAAACAAAACATTGTATTGTGACCGAAGGGGTATTTTGGAACCACTGGTCAGGGAGGTCCCCTCTGAGGAGGTGACATTTTGGTAGAAAGTCTGCTGGAGAAGCATTCTAGCAGTGTGTGCAAAGGTCCTGAGGCAGCAACCAACTTGGCATGGTGGAGGGACAGTGAGAAGCTCTGTGTCTGAGCAGAGGGAGCAGTGGAGGTGGAGGAGGTGAGGTCATGGAAGGAGAGTACAGGGCCTCTCAGGCCACAGGGGCCAGTTGGGACTTGGTGCTGATTATGAATAAGAAGCAGGAAGTGAGAGGGATTCAAATGGCTTGCTCTAAACTGGTATTGGCCTCTCTGCTACCTGCTTCCATTTTGGCCCACTGGAAGACAAGCCCCGGGGACCCTCCCTCCTCCACCTGCACAGGATGGTGTTTTCTGCATTTGGCTCCAGGGGTTATCTTCACATTGTGGGCAGCCTGTGAAGGGTCTGCTCTGTGCCCAGCCCACACTGAGGTTGAGAAGCCAGAGAGCAGTCGGGACAGTCCAGCCAGGAAAAGGAGTGGATTGCTGCCCGCGGGCGGGCCAGGCGCGGGCCTCGGCCTCGGCCTCGGTATTGAACCAGGAAGACACACCACCTGCCGTCTCAATGAGGTTCTAGGCCCACGGCACTGGGGACAAGCCTGGAGGCGAGCCCTGGATGCCCAGAACAGAGGCGGCTAAGAGGGCAGGAGGGAACGGACATTCTGGTGGTAGAAATGCTCTAAAGCTTGATTTGGGGGACAAGGTGGGGGCCGGTGCCTAGACATGAGTCAGATTTTATGGAATTGTAAATGTGCATACATTCAGGTGTCGCCACACTTTTGAGAATGGCCATTACCAAGAAGACAAGGGAGAACAAGTGTGAGGATGTGGAGACGGGAACCCTTGCACCACTGTTGGTGGGAATGTCGACTAGCACAGCCAACATGGAAAATGGTCTGGAGCTTCCTCAAATAATTAAGAATAGAACTGGCTGGTGCAGAGACCACTTGGGAGGCTGAGGCAGGAGGATGGTAAGTTTGAGGCGAGCTTAGGTAACTTGGTAAGATGCTGTCTCAAAGCAAAATTTTAAAAAGACTGGGATGTAGCTCATGTTTGCCTATCATGTCTAAGGCCCTGGGTCCAATATCTAGTACTGAAAAAAAAAATTAAAGGTAGAACTAACATATGATCAGAGATCCCAGGACTGGGTACATATGCAAAGGACATCCATACGCCAGAGAGACCTCTGTACTCCTTGCAGCACTATCTTGGTCAAGGTATGGATAGGAAAATGTGGGCTATGCACAGTGGAAAGCTACGCAGCATTAAAAAAGAAAGAAAGTGGGCTGGGCTCAGTGGTGGAGCTCACACCTAGCATGTTTGAAGCTCTGGGTTCCATCCCTGGCACCACAATAAATTTTTAAAATTAAATAAATCATTCCTGCAATTTGTGATGTGTAGATGA